AATTTTATATTTTTAAATAAAGTATTATATGGAAAAAAGCCAATATAACCGTACAAAATATTCACAAAGGAAACCTTAAACTAATTAATAAATCAAACAAAATAAACATAAAAAAATCAAAAAAAAAAAAAAGACCTATTGCCAGAGCAACCATTATGCTCCGACAATGGCTAACCATCTACTATGGAAGAACATTGGAGACTGCAATTCTCCAACTTTTTTACCCAATTTAATCCCCAAATTCTTTAAAATTCTCGGTGCCCACAACATTTTCCAACCAAAAACCTTGATTATCCGTAGTCTCACACTGCCATCGCTATTCATTTTCCTTCATTCTTTTTTGCATCCTTCCTCGCACATCTATTAAGCTAAAAGAGAATTAAAAAAAAATCTTGAAATATGCAATTTCACTCTAAAAATATGTTAGGATCTTAAAAGTTTGAAAGCTAGAAAACGAGCTCTAATATGCAAAAAACAATATCAACTGCCATAGTGCCATGTCATGTCCTTCTTAGTAGTGAGAGCCCCATAAACCAAGGATCGGTTTGTTTTAGATGGAAAGTGATGAAGCATGTCATGGAAAAGGGGGTGATTTCGACAAATGTAGAGTTTTCACAAAAATAAAGTTCAGGGGTAAATGATGAGTTTGAGGGTTGATAAGCCCTTTTCGCCTTTTTTTTTTTTCCCAACCTTTCATACACAATTAAAAATATATATATTTAGAGCTCTCATAAAAAAAATAAATATTTACAGGTAAAATGACAATATTAGTAGTAGGGTATTTTTAACCTCGTAAATTTAGACATTGATTTGTATACAGGAACATAAAAAGCTAACATTAATTAATTTCATCACCTATATTACATAAATAATTTTAATTGAACAATTTAATAATTTTCTTGAACAAAGGAAATTTTTGAGGAAGGGGAATATTCATAAAAACCAAATTTTTTTTTTTTCTTCCATGAGTGTTATTGGCCCGAGTTGAACTAAGGATTTAAAGGCCACTAAATTCTTAGGGTATATTTAGTCTGTACATGGACCATTCTTCTTCTTCTTACCTAATCCCAGACATCTTTAAAGTCAATCACTTGATTAGATAATACTTCTCTCTTTTGAGTCGTTCGCAATATCTTTTACTTTTCACCACAAACACATAAGCCCAAGTGCAAAGGAGGAAGTAAAGCAATCGATGAAGCTCATTATAAAGGTAGCAAAGAAGCTGGCAGAATTTCAAATTTTCGAGAAATGTGTCTGCGCATGCGATCTTGCTTCATAGTTTAACACCAAGCTGCAGTGGTTCACCTTTGATCTTTGAGGCCAGTGGAAGAATTACAAACGATCATATAAAAACAAAAACCCCCATATTACCAATGATCATATAAAATAATCAAATTATCATTGTGATAACGCCAAATGTAGCAAATGTTGCTCGATCGGTGAAATTTCAAATTTTTGGGCAATGTGCCTATCCGTGGGGCTAGGGCAACATGAACGTGGTTTGCTTGCATTTATCCATAGCATTATCCCTGTACTCCATAATGGTAAGAGTACCTTTGTTAGTGCTTTGAGCTCTTCTACTTGCTCTAATGTGCAAAATCTCCACGCATTGATGGCTAAGCCATTGGGAGCTTTCTGTTCATGCAGCTAGCATGGAGCAAGATCTTTGTATTTCATAATGGTAAGACCTTTGTTAGTGCTTTGAGCTCTTCCACTTGCTGTATTGTGCAAAATCTCCACGCATTGACAGCTGAGCCATCAGGGGCTATGTCCATTCATGGAGCTAGCTTGGAGCAAGATCCCTGTGCTCCATATTGGTAAGACTTTTATAATTGCTTTCAGCTCTTCTACTTGCTCAATTGTGTAAAGTGTCCATGGCTTTACAACTGAGCCATTAGGGGCTTGTCCATCCATGGAGCTAGTTTGGAGCAGGGTCCATGTACTCCATAATGATAAGATCTTTACGAATGCTTTGAGCTCTTCTACTTGCTTTATTGTGCATAGTCTCCACGGGTTCGCAGCTAAACCATTGGGGGCTATGCTTTCCATGAAGCTAGCTTGGAGCAAAATCAATGTACTCCATAATGGTAAGGCTTTTACGAGTGCTTTGAGCTCTTTTATATGCTCTATTGTGTGAAAGTCTCTACAGGTTATCTTGTTTAAGGATTTTTAGTAATGCAAGCTTATACAAAAATCTAAGAGAATAGAAATTAGGAAAAGAAAGAAACTAATACAGTAAGTTGAAAGAGTTGGAGAAGGAGAAAGTGTTTTGGATGTAGGGAAGAGGGCTGAGGATGGAGAATTGGGGATGAAATGGAA